TTAATAAAATACTCACTCTCACATAGCGATGTCTTGTTTATTATAGATATAAAATTTTAAAATATGAATACTTTTAAAAATATATAAGTGAATTAATAATATATATTGATATGCTTTTATTTAAAAATAAATTATATTAAATATTAGTATATGTATATGTATATATATATTTTTTTGTTGATATGGATGAAAAGAAAGCAAAAAATTATTATGTGAACATGTGAAAAAACATTTTGGATAGTTTATTTGAAATGGGTGATCTAAGAGCAACTGCAATAGTTTTTGTTTTTTTTTAAAAAAAAAACAAATGCTTCTTGAAAATCATAGGTATCCAAATATATTTTGAGATTTTTATGAATAGAAACTTACAATTATACAATGATTCTTTTTAACGCTATTTTTTTTAAAAAAACTTATATCTATTTTATAAAGAGAGAGAAGTTCACCATTTTTCTTCTCCAATTTTCTTTCCCCAAGAAAATCATAGTTATTTCTTAAACATTTTCAACATGTTTCTCACAAAAATCACTTCCGTCATTGTTGGAGTGTGTAGACATTAAAAAATAAATTTATAAATTTAATCAAATATCATATATTTTAAAATAAAATAAAATTTCAATAAAATAAATATACGATGTTTAATTATGCGTATATGTTAATTTTGTACAATAAATATTAACTATTAATGTGAAATCTGTTTAAAATAAAAGATATTGTACAAATATTATGTGGATATATGAAGTCATAATAAATTTGACAATAAATTAAATAAATTTTGTCAATAAAGGAAATATTATAATTCATATCTTAAAAAAATGATATAAAAATTTTGATGAGAAAAGAAGGAGCACACTCAAATATTTCAAGAATGAAAAACGATATCCGATGAAAAATGAAGTATTACAAAACATGTTGAACCATTCGGAAAAGAAGCCGAAGCTATCACTCCCTTGTGAATAGGGGTCTTGTCAAATTAAGTTGGGACATCAAAGTTCATTTGGGACACCGAAGTTCATTTGAATACTCGAATAAAGGTAAGTCTCTTTAGACTATTTGCATTGTTCTTCACGTTTTTCATATCATTCGAAGCGTTTTTTTGTCGAAAACTCATCGATTTGGATAAATGATCAAATGATGGTTCACGAATTGATGAAGTTAACGTTCTTCTTCGTATATTAAAGCCGGTTGAAAGATGAAAGCTCCAAACACAGTTGAAGGACCCGTCACAACCAAGGAAAAAGCCTCTACTATAAAGTTTCAAGATGTTCATTGTGTTCTTCATCAAATCATCAAAGTTGTCATTCTTCGATCTAAAAGTTAAAGGGACACGCTGCCAAAAACTATTATGGAGCATCAAATACACATCAGCAATGATCAAAATCCCAAATTCATCCAAAGTAAAAATTGATGATTAAAATCGTCTGCATAAAGACCAAAGCCCTTCAAAGTTCGCCAAAGCCAAACTGGAGTACAAAATTCACCTCCACAAAGATCAAGACTCCAAATCCATCAAAAGGAATCTTCAAATCCAAAGTCGATGATCAAATTTTTCTGCATGGAGACTAAAGCCTTCCAAAGGCCGACAAAGCCAAATTGAAGATCAAATTTCTTCGGATCATCCAAAAAAGTCATCAAAATTCAAGTTAAAAAATAAATTGATCCGAAAATAGAATCAAAAGACCAAATTAGATAATATTACCTACTTTAAATCAAAAGTAAATATAATTTATATAAATTTTGAGTTTATTAAAACTAACACAGTTTTTTGTCTACAGGGTGTAAAGTCAAGTTTTACATTGAAAGATTAGAAGAAGAAACTCACACTTTATAAGTCCGCATGTAACTCCATCAGTACGAGATATTTTGGAGGAAATCCAAAAATAATTCGTACGAGTTCGGCCCAAAGCAAATAATATTATATTAGTATTTAGTTGACACAGTTTTAACAACTGGTATTAGAGCATGGCATCGTTGGTGTGGGAAGCCTTCGTTGACCTCATGATTGGAATTTGCGGTGGTGCTTTGTGTCGAAAGTCTCTCGGCATTTGTGATGGTCGGTTGGTGGTCCCGACAGGTGTGGTCAGGCAACAGATTCTTTTGTTGATAAAGGCGGTACAAAATGGACAAATCAATGGAATATCACTGAAGGGGAGACACATTGATTATATAGTCATTAGTTTGAGAGGAAGATTGTTAAGTACAAACTCAAGTTTTACATTAGAATATTAGAAGTACAAACCCATATGTATCTCCACTAATACGAGACGTTTTGAAGGAAGTCCAAAAATAAATTTATACGGGCTCGACCCAAAACGGACAATATCATACTAGTATTGAGTTGACTAAATCCTCACAATCATCGGCAAAAATTCCAAAAAATTATTGGACGAAACATTGAAAAAACCATCTGTAGAGATCAAAGAAGACGCCGGAGAGAAACAAATCGCAAACTTGAGATGATGGAAAGAACGAAAAAAGAAATCAGAACGACAATATAGATGATATTTTTCAAATGGGAGAAAATTCCTCTAAAATAAGAGCTTTAACTTTCAAAATTTGGCAAGTGCAGTTGCTCTAAGTAACTGTGATATATTTATAAATAAATATAGTATTAAAGGGTATAAATTAAGAAGTGTATAAAAAAAACACAGAGTTAATAAACGAAATGAGTATTATGAAAACAAATTACACTAAAAAAAATCATGTGTATTGACAGACAAGATTTGAAGGCGTCAAGAGTCTCAAATCACGACCTCACGGTCACGATAATTTATTCCCATAACACCACGTCATGTCTTACAGGACCAACTAATTGTAGTAACTTTTGTTTAGCCATAACTTGTACCCTACTTAAATTACAAATCTACAAATTATTTTTATTCATACTAGAATGCATATCCACCTGAAATAATACATTTACAAGTTTTGTAGAACTTGTTTGTGTTAGTCTTAAATTATTTTAGAGGTATTTTATTCATTTTGTTTATTTTCATCGATTAAAAGACTTCTATATCATAGACATTTTGAATTTTTTTTTTCGTTCGAAAAATTTATTTTTATTTTTTATTTTTTGTATATATGTTAAATTTATCTTAATATTAATTTTGAAAGTAAAAAATTCAATATTTTAGAGTTTATTTGATTGTAGGTTGAAATTGATTAGAAATAATGTTGATTTGAATTTTTGCTTAAATATATGATACGAATAGTATTGCTTTTTATTTAAAATTATAAAAAAAAAACTATTATATATTTTTATTCATAAATAAAATATTATTATTTTTTAATTTAATATATGTCCACGTAGATTTACCCTAATTTAAAAAAAAAAAAAAGAATAGTTTTAAAACTCGTTAAAATTTTCCCCTAGTGCTTATTCCTTTACCCAATCTTCTCTCTTTCCTTTTTTTGCCTTTAACTTCTATTTTCAGCTGCGATGGAAAAATAAATAAATAAACAATGAACAAGGGTTGATGTTTCCTCTCCTGAGTTTTGAAGTTTGTTCGGTCACTGTCAAAGCCTGTATCTATATATATTTTGAAAATATGTTGTTTTTTTTTTTTTTTTTATTGAGTTTGAGAATTTTTGGTTTAAATTTTATATTAATTAATGTTTGATAGGATATTTTGTGAAAGAAAAATATAATATACTCCCTCCGTTCCGCAAGAAGGTTGCCATTGACTTTTTGTGTGTTGATTTTTTTATATTAATTATGATATCGTAATACGAATCAAGAAAAGAAAACAAAAATATGTTTATTAGTCTATTATAATACATATACAATAATATTTGTCGAATAAATTATTCAAATATAAAGATATTTTTAATATTAAGTATAATGACGCAAAAATCAAATGACAACTTTCTTGCGGGACAGTAGAAGTATATTTATTTTAAAAAAAAAAATTGCAGAATTTAAATAATAAAATTAAAGAAAATTAGTTTAAACAAAAAAAAAAAAAAAAAAAAAACCCCTTAAGTTCTATTAAAATAATAACAATAATAATATAAAATAAGAATGGATTCGTTCGCTGAGGAACGGCATTACGTAGGGCATCTGGCGTTGGATTGGTTTCCAACGGACTCAAATCCTGCGTCATTTTTTTCGTTAGCTTTCTAATTTATTTTTTTTTTAATTTTTTAAAATTTTAATTTTAATTTTAAAATTTATTTTTTATTTTTTTAAATTTTAAAAAAACTTATTTTAAATTATAAAATAAAAATTATTTAAAATAATTGAAAAAAAAATTATGATTAAAATAAAATTATTGTAACAATTGCATATTTAGAGTTAAAATTAAATAAATAAAATTATGGATTGAAAATGAATTATAATTCCGTGAAAAGCTTCTGCTGTATTGTGTTGTTTGCTGCAATATTTAATTTAATTTAATTTAAGCAAAGCATGTAGCATTACCATAAACAGTTTATTCCCTCCGTCTCCACGTAATATGAGTGTATTACGGTACCGGAATTTAGGTAAAATATAATTAATAAATAATTAAAAATGTATTAGTAAAAATAATTATTATTTAATAAAAATAATTATAGATTAAAATTAAGATAAGTAAATAGTTTAATTAAAATTAAAAATTAAAATTTAAAATTTAGAATGCGATTAAAGTGCATATTATATTTCTAAAAATAAAAAAAATAAGTTATATAAGACGAACGAAAATAGAAGTAAATATAGATTGAATCGAAATGAGGAGCACATGAATGATGATGTTGCTGTGCAGTGCAGTAGTGACGTTGACGTGAAAGCGAAGCCCATCTTTTCATGTCCATTTCACCACCTTGATGTTGACATTGACGTTGAGGTTGACGCTTGATGCTTGATGCTTGATGCTTGATATATCTACATAATGTCTCTTTAATTAATTAATTAACTAATTATATTTTTTATTTTTTTATTATTTTTTTAAAATTTTATTATATTTTTCAAAAAAAAAAAAAAAATACACACCCTGATTTAACCTCACCTCAGCTCAGCTCTCAGCTTCATTGTTGCTGTATGTATACATATATACATCAAGTTAAACATGATCACTACAACTACTACTGCTACCCACTTTACTTAATTAATTATTCTCAGAAACAGAAGATATCATATATGGCTTGTTCGTCTTTAGGAGGAGGAGATGAAGCAGAAGCAGAAGCAGAAGCAGAAGCAAGAAAGAAGCAGGCAATGTGGGTTTCCCCGAATATGAAGGTGAAGATGATGATGGGAGCTAATTGTGATCTGCAGACTCGATGGGGCCATTCTTCCTGCTACTTCAATGCTTCTCTTTACATTTTTGGTGTAAGAAGAAATTAACTTCAGATCCATACATACATACATATATATATATATATATATACAACCACTTTTTTTCTTAATTAATCTCCTCACTTCCTGCTATAATGTATATATATTTCTTCCTTCTTGCATGCATGCTCCTAATGGCTTTTGTCTTTCTGTCGATCTGTTCATATGTGTGTGTGTGTTGTGTATCTATTCTGCGACATTTTGTATGCTGTCTTATTTTACTTTATTTTATTTTTTTGAGAAAAAAAAAAAAAACATAACAAGATTGAATCTGGCTAAAGGGCAGTTTCACTTTCGTGAATGGGGTTGGGGTTTTTGATGTTGTGGTGGTGTTTTTTTTTTTTTTTTTTTTTTTTAGGTCTAGATTTAGAATATTTATTTATTTATTTATCATGGGTTGGTGGCAGTGAAACTTGTTTCTTCTCTACACCGTCGTAATTAATTAAATTATTATGCTCGCAAATCTTCTTTTTTCTAATTAATCTCAATTGAATCTTGAATGCAAATGTACTGAAAAATAAAACCAAAGTTGAATGGCGTTTCATGTAGTCTTTCTTTTACACATTATTTTCATGATCAATCACGTAATAAATTAAATAATAAATAGTTCAATTTTTTAGGACAATGTTAAGGGTTTGTTTGTTTGGGGATTTGGATTTTGAGAAGGGTGTGTTTGTCTGGGGTTTGGATTTTGAGTTGGGATTTGAACAGTAAAAATTTTGAATTTGAATAGTTGTATGATGTGATATAAATAGGTATTGATGTGATGTTTTGAATATAAAATTGATTTTTAATATGATATAAAAAATAAGTGTTTAATTTATTATTTTTAGAGAAAAAAAATGGGATGAATAGTGGATTCCAATCCCCAAACAAACACATCCTTATTTCTTGGCACTTCGATATCAAGTAGCACTTCATCATCATTAATTTATTCAGTACTATTTTTCAATAACAAAAAGAACAAAAATCTAAGGCTCCGTACAGATAGAGACTTTTTGGCCTTATAAGTAAAAAAAAAAAAAAAAAAACAAAAAATCAAATAGAATTATCTTCGTTTATTGTTAATTTTTAAATATTAATTATTATATCAAAAGGTAATATAAATTAAGAAAAAAATGACAAAAATATTTTTATTGGTGTCTTATAATATTAATGTAATTGACATTTGTACAGAAAGAATTATATCAAAATATAAGGATATTTTTCATGTTAAAAACAATTACGTCAAATGTAAATGGATAGATTGACGGTGGAGGAAGGTTGCATTTGATTTAATATTTTTTTTAAAAAAAAAATTGATATTGACAAATAATACCAAAATCTCAAAAAAATATCCATGTAAATGGAGCCCGAAAAGCTACGAACACATTACAAACTAAATTTGCATATATATGTTTATATACGTGCAGGGATGCCGAGGGGGCGTGCATTTCAGCGACGTGCTCGTGTGCAACCTCAGGGGGATGACATGGAACATCCTCGAAACCTCCGGGGAGGGGCCGGGGCCGCGCGACAGCCACAGCGCCGTGATGGTCGACCACAGGATGCTGATCTTCGGCGGCACTAATGGTTGCAAGAAAGTGAATGACCTTCACATACTAGACCTCCTATCGAGGAAGTGGACTTGTCCGGATTGCCGGGGGACCCCTCCCCCGCCTCGCGAAAGCCACACGGCCACTGTGGTCAATGACAAATTGGTGATATTCGGGGGGAGTGGCGAAGGCGGGTCGAATTATCTAAACGATGTGCATATCTTGGACCTTAAGAGGATGGAGTGGTCGGCGCCGGAGGTAAGGGGTAGCATCCCAGCTGCCCGGGATAGCCATAGCTCGGTAGGAGTGGGCGGGGGGCGGATGTTGGTGTTTGGGGGGGACTCGGGCGATAGATATCAAGGAGATGTTAGCGTGCTCCACGTCAATACCATGCGTTGGTCGAGGGTATGTCTTGTCTAGTTTTGTTTATAATATCCGATATAAGGCGATATTTGACCAAATCAACACCCTAACTGTAGGCAGGTAGTGCATGATTCTATATAGTTTAGTATTATGTTGTGCTATATAGAAACATGCGTTACTGTGTATATATATATGCTTATTGTGCTTAAAATTAATACTCTCTCCGTCCGTTAAAATTTGGCTCATTTGGGCCCGATATGAGAATTAAGAAAAATAGATATTTTATTGAAAAAGTGATAGATAGTTGGGAGTATTTTTGAAAATTTAGTTAAAAAATAAAGAGAGAATGAAATAAGTATTGGATAAAAGGCAATAATTAAATGTTAGATTTGTTGACTTTTCCAAAATTAGTAATGAAATAAATTTAATTGGCGAATTAAAAAGAAAAGTGAATAAATTTGGCAGATAGAGAGAGTAATATATTATATTGTATATTGTATTATCATGTGCTATAATTTACATGCTATTTGCCTTATATATAGTTATTGTTGAATATTGTCCATTACTTATAAGGGTAAATGTGTATTTCATTTAATACCAATTGGTTTTAAGTTGAAATTTGGGATCTCTTCTTAACATGGTATCAAAGCATAATGTTTGTATTGGCTATTGGGTATTGATCTTGATTAAAATTTTGAGATTAAGTTAATTTGTTAACTTATAACTAACTTGTCTATCTTTGTCATGATCGATCAGCTCGAGGCTTCACAACCCGGGCCGGGCGCCCGGGCGGGTCATGCTTCCGTGAGTATCGGGACCAAGGCAAGACATGCATCCATCATCGATCCATCTTAATTATTACATGCATGCATTGATCGATAGCTAAAAATGACGATGAATTTCTTGCTTAATTAACGCGTAGGTGTATGTGCTCGGGGGCGTAGGCGACAAAAAGTACTACAACGATGTTTGGGTTCTTGATGTGGTCGCTTCCTCTTGGTCTCAGCTTCACGTCTACTCTCAGAAACCGTCGCAAGGCCGGTTTTCTCACACCGCCACCATCACAAATCTCGGGGTAGCTGTTTTTGGAGGGTGAGCGAGTTTTCGAACCTTTCCTTTCTTTTTGTTCTTTGTTTATTTGTATTGAAATGATGCATGTGCTTGTGTCCTAGTTGTGGAGAGGACGAACAGCCGCTCAATGAGTTACTCATCCTCCAAATGGAAACGGAAATGTTGCAAAAGAAAGACCAAGAAAATAACACGGTAGCCCATTAATTGAGTGTGCGCATATATATATATATATATACTAGTACTCGTAAGCGCGCTACGTTGTGCAAGTTCAAACTGCTACATAAAACTGCTCTAATTGCATGAATTGATTATGCGTCGAAATGTATGACACAGATAGGTGAGGTCTCTAATTTGGGTGTCTTAATTAGAAAATATATATATATATTGGTTTGCTTTGTATGTATCTTTTTTTGGCTAATATGTTTCTATTTGTAAGTAAGGCGAAGGCTATATTTGTAAGCGATGACGATGAAGAAGAAGAAGAAGTAAACTTGACATCCCCATCCAACGGTCAGCCCAACCACAACCACAAGCAGAAACAGTCCTTCAGGTTTACTTCTGGTTAGTATCCATACGATCCGATTTAATTACATACATATCGAGCAATATATATGTATATATGCGAGAAAGTGACCGATCTTGTGTTTCATTATTGGCAAAGATAGACGATGATATGTTGCATCCAAAGAGGAGAAGGACTAGAAATTCGACAATGGCTACTGCAAATGCAAGCGGCAACGACTGTAGTTTTCGCTCGCCATCACCATTGCAGTGCAGTTGCGAAGATCACATTCACATTCCTCTGAAGAAAACCATTGCCAGATCGAGGCCTAGGTTGAGCCATCGTAATCATGATATGTGCAACTACTACTTATCATCCTCCAATCATCATATCATCAAACAAGAAGGGTTGAACGTGATCCATGCCCAAACCACACCCGAATCTAGGAAAAGGACAATTTCGGTACCATATATATATATATACAACATACATACATACATTCATATTATTTGGTGTATGAAAGTTGAAAGAATGAGTATTATAAGGATGTTGTAATGAATGACTGCAGGTGGGAGCTGAAGTTCACGGGCATGTAGATGGCCAGTTCGACTCTGGTTTCCTCATGACCGCCACTGTCAACGGCAACATCTTCAGAGGCGTTCTCTTTGCTCCGGTACCTACTACTCTTTCTTCACTTTCAACTCAACTAAACATATATATATATATATATGCATATTGTTTAGTTAACAAGACGACGACTACCTCTTTTCTTAAAGGGTCAGGGGCCAGCAAGGTTAGGAGGAGGTGAAAATCGGGTATCTTATGGCCACACACTATTTTCAAATCTAAACTCAGATGCAATTCAGATTCATTCCAACGTGCAGCAGCAGCCTCCCTCCGAATCAAGAAGATCGCCGGACAATGTTGAACTTGATGGTGTTGTGCTGACGCTGGCCAGCCCCAGCACCGCCACCCATCCCTAGCCTAGGACAGGATTTCAACTCACATCAGATCTTATGTATATCATTGTGTGTTGTGTAGTGCAGTTATGTGAAGTGGAGAGATTTTTAAGACATTTTGACGAGATGAATGAGTTTCAATGGAGGATTTGTATTTTTTAAGCCAATCCTATCATCAGAGGACGTGCGGCCGAGGGAGGCTCTCCCTACAATGCACATTGAAGATCAACTCAGCAGCCGATATTTCTATAACCAAATGCCAAGTTCCTACCTCTGGTCTCGGGATTTCTGTTACTCTGCAAGCTCTCACAGCCGCAGACCATGCTCCCATCGAGTCTTCCTACATCGAGCATTAAGTGATTGCAAAGGTTGTATGTCAAATTACCGAGATTCGCTAGGCATGCCCGCACCATCAGTGGTCTTTCCCCGATTATATAATAACGAACACCGGTTGTATTCCAGAATTCACTTTGTTTTCCAAGAATGATTCACATTCTACGATAGAGCATCACTGCCCAATGCAATGCAATGCAATGGCAAATTAAAAAACGACTCCGTCCATCTTCATTTGACGTTTCTTCTCTAAATGTTTCTGTTGTCGAGGGGTTGAATTGGTGGAGAACCTATTTCTGGCTGGAGCACAATCACAAATGGTTTGGCATTTCTTTTTGAACATTTTCCATATCAATCATCATAATACTTGTTATCCTACTATTTTGACACACACGACCACAAAGCATCGTGAAACTATTCTTTTTTGTAACAGAATCCTTTGGAGAATCTATCGACACCTGCAGGTTCTATCTAAGAATGACATGTTCCATAAACAACATTGGAAATGAGATACAGAACAAACGGCTACATTTGCTACTAATTTCAGAACCTCACTCTTACCCCAACATACCTTGGTATTTTGGGAGAAACCACCTTTGGGATGGATTAAACTTAACGCCCATACGGCTTCCAAAGGAAATCCAGGCGAAGCTGGAGCTGGAGGATTATTCTGAGGTGCTAAAGTCCCTTAAATATATATATAATATTTTTTTACTTAAAATAAAATATAAATAAAAAAAAAACACTTTTTTAGTATTTTTATGCAAAAGTATCAATAATAATATGACAAAATTGTTCATAATTTCCATGTAGTTTTGAAACTTAGCATAAAATTTTTATGTATTTTAAAAATTGTGTGGCGACTTTTTTATACTTTAACAAATGTTATATGAAACTCACCTCAACAAAAAATCATCTTCTCATCATAAAAAAAAAATATAAAAAAAGTTTTATTCAACAATTTTGAAAGTATAAGAAGGCGTTATATGCAATTTATAAATTATAGAGAGGATTTACGCTAAATTTTAAAACAACAACAGAGTTATTGATAATTTTATCTAATAATAATAATAATTTTGTCTCATACTTACTTTCTTCTTAATGATATTCTCCATCTGTCCCTTGACATATTATTTATTTTTTTGTTTTGATACGTCCCATAACAAAGTTTTTTCTATTTTATTCATACTACACCCCAATATAATACTAATACTCCTATAACTCCGTTGAGAAAAAGCAAATAGATAGATAGATAAGGGGCGGATGAAGTATATATATTTTTTTTCAAAACCTCTTAAGTAGTACATAAAATATGTAATCATGAAGCCACATTCCTCTATTAGTATATAAAAATCAAATAATATGTATATATAAATATTTTATATATAACATAAATATATTATGGGCCCTTATTTAGATTCGGCCCTGGACGGGCGCCCCTCTTGCCCGGGCCCAGGGCTGGCCCTGGGAATGACCCGATAGATTCTGGAAAACCAAGCATGCCTCTCTCATTCTTCATGTTTCTGGGAGCCTTCGAGTCTCTATGGTCGAATTAACAAGTATGATTCAATTAGATAAATAATTTCTCCTAATCTTAGAATGCACATCCGGCATGGTTATCATTTTTATGGAGGTTGAAGGCTTTGATTTGAAAATGGTTTGTAGGTGTTTATTTGGTCGTTTTTATGTTGCTTCGTGATCTGCTATTTGATTCTTTTTTTTAGTTCTATTTGACCATGTGCAATGAGAGTTTTTAGAGCAAATGCAATGGTTGAAATGGAAAAAATTATCTATATTTCACTTCAGTCTTACTTGTCCAATGAGGGAGAAAAAGTGGATAAAAAAATTATACAATGACAAATAATTAATAAAGAGAGAGATAGAGAGAGGATATGTGTTTGTGTGCAATTTTGGTGTGAGAGAATGAAATGGAAGACTTGGGACGTGCATCGCCTGCACCCTAAACCCTAAACCCTAAACCCTGCACCGGACTGTCTTGCTGGGCATCCCATATTTTAGCCTAAATTAATGCTTCATTATATTATATATTATATAGCTTTTGACGACAAAAGTATTCCAAAAATAATGAGAAGACTTCTATTAAACAACTATTGTCTTTGCTCTTATATATCGGAGAATGTGTACATATTTAGATGGAATTTTCGTGTCTGTCAAAAAAATAAATTAAATAGAAAAAGTTAAAAATCGTGTTATTTCTTTCTCTTTCCTCCATTTAGGAGAAAGAATATGCTTGAATTGATTTATTTTTATTTATGTATTTTATAAAATAATTTTTTAATTGATTAATAGAGTGAATTGAAAGAGAGAATGCTTATGAACCAAATATAAGTTTTGCACAGCAGATGGTCTTAGTTGTTTGAGAAATCTATTGTCTGCCCTTATTTGTGAGCTTCAAATAAAAATAATCAATGTGGGAAAATATCATAATACCATTTTCTTAAATTAATTTTTTAAAATAACCATTAATTATCTTAAAATAATCGTTAATTATATGCGTCTTTTCCTCTTCCCTTGGCTGCCCCTAATTCGGTGTTGAGAAGATTTTTCCAACGTATTGGAGTCGGCGTAGATTTGTTTTTTTGTTTTTTCAATTTCTGTCTGCCATAATTCGGTATTTAGAAAGCATCTCGGGCAGTCGATTTCGATTTTTTTTTTTTAGTGTTGTTCGTATATACTCTTGTTCATCACTGAAAATTCAATTTTATGTAGGCCTTCGATATAAGGATTAAATTAAATTTGATTAAAAAAAAAGTGGAGAGTAGCGGTGGTGTGATTATGCTAAATAATTGATTTGTTTTTCCTTTACATGATTATATTTATAATTGTATCAGATTTCAGAGAATATTGCCACAAATTTATCAGATGCAAATAACGAAAAAAATCAGGTATGTTATTTTTTAATCTTTATATCTATTTTATTTTGTATTTTACTAAAGATGCTTAGACAATTTATTCTAAATAAAATTTAATATGTGTTGCAGGAAATTTCTGAAATTTATAAAAAAAAATGATAATCATATTATTATAAGCGATTCAGGTTATGATAATTTTAATTCTCATGATTCATTACATAAATTCATCTCAAAAGAACATATTCCTCGTAAAGGTATGGAATTTGATATTGAAAATTTTGTGGAGAATTTTATTCTATATATGCTACATTGGTTGGGTTTGGTATTAGAAAAAGCACCCAATATAAAAAAAAAAAAAATGGAAAACTTATTGATAGAACATTTTGTCCTTATGCTGAAGGTAAACAAAAAACCGATAACCGAGATGTTTATGTGAAAACGCATGTGACAAAACTAGATTTGGATGCTTAGAAAAAATTTTAAAAAAATATTTGAATAAAAATGAAAAATATGATGTTGTGAATTTTATTCCAACATAATCATTATTTATCTAGAGAAAATGAATCTCACGTGTTTAGATCACACAGGAAAATAATTGAAACACATGCCACTGAAATTGAAATAGCAGACAATGTAGGTATTCCACCAAAAACATCTCATGATTATATGATCAAGGAAACAAATAGTCGTGATAATTTAAGATTTATTTCTCAAGATTATAGAAATTATTTGCGTACAAAAAGAACTAAAAATATAAAAATTGAAGATACAGAGGACTACGTGAATATTTACAAGAGATGCATATAAAAGATTCAAATTTTTTTCACTCAATTCAAGTTGATGAGGATGATGCAATAACTAATATATTTTGGGGAGATGAAAAAATAAAAGATGATTATGCTATATTTGGAGATGTGATATCTTTTTATACAACTTATGGAAAAAATTCTCAAAATTGTACTCTTGCATTGTTTGCTGGTGTGAATCATCACAAATAAATTATCCCTTTTGGTTGTGCACTTTTATACGATGAAACAACTGCACCATTTGAGTAGTTATTTGATGTATTTTCTTGAAGCATGTTAGGTAAAGAAGCCAAACACTATTATGACGGAATATGCAGCAATGGCCAAAGTCCTAGCTTCTAAATGGGCAAAGACACACCAGATGTTATGTATTTGGCATATATATCAAAATGCTGCTAAACATTTAAGTGAAGTTTTTGATAAATTTAGAGATTTTGCACATGATTTTAATAAATGTGTTTATAATTTTGAAGAAGAAGATTTTTTAATTGAATGGAATAATATGCTTGAAAAATATAATTTTCAAAATAATGATTTTTTGAAAAGATTATTCAGTAAAAAAGAAAAATGGACACCAGTTTATGGTCATCAATATCTTTGTGCTGATATCACTACGACACAAAGAATGGAGAGCATGAACTGTGTGGTTAAAAGGTATCTTAATTACAAGAATAGTTTGACGTCAATTTTTGAATATTTTCAAATTTGATTGATAATCGTCATTATAAAGAGTTGAAAGTAGATTTTAAAGCAAATACAAGTAATCATTTATTATCCTTTCCTACCCAATTATTAAAACATGCAGCAAGTATTTATACTCTATGAGTACTTAAATTATTTTAAAAGGAATTTTGCGAGGCTTATGTTTGTAACATTTATGTTTTTAGCGTGATTAAAAGTGTTTCAATTTATCATGTTACATCTTTCGATAGATCAAAACATCACATTGTCAAGTATAATTGTTTAAGTAGCACGATACATTGTAGTTGTAGAAAATTTGAGTTTTGTAGAATTTTGTGTTCTCATACTTTGAAGGTTTTTATTGTACATAATATTATTGAGATTTCAGATTTATATATACTAAGACGATGGACAATTAAAGCAAAGGTTGGTGATTTTTATAATACAATGACATCACATAATGTGGATGACTTGGATTCTAAAGTATTGCCGAAAATATGGTATAGAGACTTGTGTAATATTTACAATCAACTTATTACAAGAGCCGCTGAAACAAAATAAACATATGAAATAGTAAGAGATGGCTTCAAGGAAATAATTGAAATGGTTAATGAAAAGATGCAAAGTATGGATATTTTTTACGAGAATTTAATCTTAAAGAAATCAAAGGAAAAAGAGAAGAATTCATCAACAGGTAAAGAAATAGACATAAAGGTTACCAGAATAAGAGTTAAAACAAAAGTTGTTTTAGGGAAGAGACTTAAAAATGGACTAGAGAAAGCTTCACAGAAGAAGAAAAAG